AAGTGACCAATTTAAACTTTCATCTATCAGTAATCCCAAATATTTAATACTTGACACTTTTTCTAGCGCTATATTATTTATGTTAATATTTAGATTATTGCTAACTATCTTATTTTTTTGTTTAAATATAATGTATTTTGTTTTTTCAATGTTAATTTTTAATCTATTCGAAAACAGCCATTTAAGATAACTATTCAGGTCATCATTAATAAGATTCGTTAAAGCAATTTCGTCTGTTCCAGTATATACCAGTACAGTGTCATCTGCAAAGGTAAAATATCTTCCCCTCAGATCGGCCAACTTGAGATTCAGTACATAAAGACTGTATAACAGAGGTCCAAGAACTGACCCCTGTGGTACTCCATAGGTGCTAGATAACCATTCACTATCAATGTCTCCAAGCTTTATGTACTGTTTTCTGTCATATAAATAAGACTTAATCAAGCTGTACAAAACACCTCTAAATCCCATTTTAAACAATTTATCTAAAAGAATGTCTACGCTTACTACGTCAAAAGCTTTTTTTAGGTCAATGAAAACAGCTACAACTATTTGTTGTTTATCTAGAGCCATTGAAATGTAGTCCACAAAATCAACAACCGCACTAAGTGTGCTACTGTTCGTTATAAAACCATATTGAAATTCATCAATCAATATATTGTGAGTAGCAATGAAAGATAACATTCTTTTTTTTATTAATTTTTCTATAATCTTAGAGAATACACACACCACTGAAATAGGCCTGTAATTGTTCATACATTTAATATCTCCCGACTTAAAAAGTGGGGTTATTTTAATTATTTTCAATTCTGATGGAAATATTCCATTTTGTATAGTTTCATTGATTAATCGTTCTAAAACAGGTATTAAGTATTCTCCAAGATTATTTACATCCTTAACCGTGATACCGTCATATCCAGGTGCCGAGTTTAATTTTAGTTCTTTCACAACTTCCAACAACTCTTCTTTATTAGTCAATGTTATCGAAATAGAATCTTCGTTGTGAACCTCACCAACAGAAATAAACTCATTCAACTGCTGAATCTCTGCTTCCAAATTTTCAACAATTGATCCACCGACCCGAGAAAAGTATTTATTTAAATTGTTTGCAATATCAAGTTGAGTGTTAATAATGTTATTTTCAGTTACTAGTTGATAAATTCTTACTTTATACTCCTTATTTTTTATTAGGCTGTTTATAAAAGCCCATTGTTTCTTTACATTGTTTCCAGCTAAGCTCCATTTAGTTTGGAAATAACGGTTCTTCAAAGCACGTATTTTATTGTTTATTTTATTTTTGATGTTTTTAAATTCAGAGATGATAGTTAAGTCTTCTGGTTGGTTAATCTTTCTTTTATATAATTTATCTCTTTTTTTGATAAGCTCAAGGACTTCATTATTTATCCAGGTGTTATTTGTACGTATTCTTAATTTTTTTATATATACCGATTTACTTTTGCAGTCTTCAATTAAATTAATTAATTCTTGAAAAGTTGTTACATTTTTGCTTAAAATTTTTTGTCTAAATAAGTTTACACATTTTTTATAATCTACAGATTTTACCTCATAATCAACTTTTGGTTTATGGAACTGCACAGATGTTTTAATATTAAGTAATATAAGTTTATGATCCGAAATTGCATTTTCTTTAACACTGACTCTACAACTTACATTACTACCATAATCGCTAAGAACATGGTCTATAACAGATTTTGACGAACTGCTAACTCTAGTAGCACACTCCTCATTTATCGTATTATTAATTTTAAAACTGTTTAATGCTATTAAATCTTTGTACTCCTTGGCTACTTGTGAGACTTCTAGCAAATTAATATTCATATCCCCAACAATTAAATGATTTTTAGGATGAGTACACATAATAGATTCCAAACAATGAAAAAAAATTTTACTATTTACAGATGGTGGTTTATAAATAACACTAATTTTTAAGTTTTGTTCCCCTAAGCTAATACATATCCAGTTTATTAACTCACATCTGTTTGACTTCTCAATTTCACGAAATTTAATAGATTTCCTCACATAGATAGACACACCACCTCCTCTACCAGCCCTGCAGGAATGAACAGCATTATAGCCATCCAACTCAAACAAGAATGTTTCACTTTCTTCCAACCATGTTTCAGCCGCCAACAGTATATCCCAATCTTCACTTACAACCAAACACTGCACCAGATCCAGTTTATTTCTAATACTTTGCAAGTTCATGTAAGCAATTTTTAGTTGTTCACGAGGCCTTACTAGTTTTCCAACTGACTTTTATTACTAATACGAAGAACTTTTGAGTTTTCGTCCTTCCTTAGGAGGATATTACCATCTCCAATCCAAAGGAACTTATAATTTCTGTCTTTCTTAAAAGCCTTGGCTGCCATGAATAAATCAAGATTTTCTTTTGTGAGTTCATGGTTGAGAAATATTTTATTATCTGTCGTATATCCCAAATCCGAACTTTTAAGGCCAAACTTCTTTCTTGATTTTAAAAATTTTATTTTGGTTGATTCATCTTCAAAGATGACTTTAACAGGGTTGTTTTTATTGTTATCCCTGCCCAATCGAAAAGTCGTAAACCTGTTTCCATTCGGGACGTCAAGGTAATTGCCAATTTTATTTATAATGTCAGGTAAGTTCTCGTTTTCTTTGTATGGAATTCCTTGAACCAACAAGTTGTTTTTAAGTTCCTTTTGTTCATTTTTGTTTAACTGTTGCTTAATTTGGCCGAGTTCATCCTGTAATTGTTCGTTTATTTTTAATTGCTCGTTATATTTAGTAAATAATGCCTTATATTTATTATCCATCTCCTCTAATTTTGCCATGACATCGGCCAGAGTGTAATCCCTCTTCGCCTGTGAAACAAAACCAGGACCATCTTTGGTCTTACATTTGCCACAAATCCAATCATCATTGGATTTACTTAATTTAAGATATGTTTTATTTGACATTGATAAGCATTCTTTATGTTTCCATATGTTGCACTTATCGCATAGTAATGCTTGACAATCATCAAAAACCTCCTTAAGACATATGTCGCAATTATCAGTCTTGGTTTTTGGCATTTTAATGCTGATAGGATAATCCGAAAGTTACGGCAACTCCGCTGGAGGTTCACAGCAATACCCAGCCTCCCAGTGCCTGGTGTTAATGTATAGAAGCGCACGGGTCAAAGTACAGTTGGCGATAAATGTCGTCCAATTTCGGCGATTTGAAGCAAAAAGAAGATCTTAGGCACTACAAAGCAGCGTTATTGTTCTATGTAACGTAATGCTCGGATTAATCGATAGCACAGTAATTAAATGATACTATTTAACACTAATTTTGGAAAATATTTGCAGAACGATTCGTAAACACAACTTGACCGGTTATGGGCAACGTTGCCATTGAGTTGTTGTTATTTCATTGAAGAACATCAACGCATGATAAATACATGAATACATTATATTGTAATGCCTTAAAAATTTTTCATCAACTGAGTGAAGGCGATCAAAGAAATGTTAAGTTTCCGACAGATGTCTGCATCCATCTGGAAATTTTCAAATTTCACATTAAAGATAACGATAGCTGAAGATACACAACGTACAAATTGTATACACTAACAATGATAACTGCGATAAATTCGAATTGAGAATTGACAACCACCTGAATGGGGTGATGCTAGCCCAATACAACGCCTGTGATAGAAAGTCACTCCTCCACACGTGAGCAGTAGTCATTGCCAATGCCAATGACCAGTTGGGCACAAAATACAATTAATTGTTCATTGGGAAATTGTTAAATTTTTAGGCTTAAGTTGACTCTTTTGACGATAAAATCAAGCTTTCGGCATTCTGTATGGAGCCTTCATCAGGATTTCGTCGTTCAGGTTGCAGCCACAAGGTGTTTCAAAACGAACGTAAAGAGGATAGAACTTGTAAGCAGTATAAAAATGAAGAAATGGCTGCTGGTGGGTTTTTTTTTATTACGGTACACTATTCCCAGAAAACTATCTATAAAGAGTGTTTAGTATTTCCATGTATGCACCTGCTCCTATATATAGCAGGTGGTAGCCCAAGAGGTCATGCTATATGTTATAAGGGTTTAAATAAAGGCACTGTATAGTGTTTTGGGATAATTTTCAACAAAGGATGTTTGGCATTTCTGCCACAAGTTTATGCAATTTCACCTGTGCTAGTAGCGAAGTTCTCACAGTCAGGATTTGAGATTTCTTTTATCTAGGTTAGATATGTACTTCTTGCAGGTAGCACCCCAGCTGTCACCCCATATATTATATTATGGGATTTAATTGGCACATGGTACGATCGAAGGTCTCACGGATAGAAATGATACATTTGGTTTTTTTTTTGTATACTTATGTATATTTGATTATTAGACCTAGTTTTTTATGTATTGATTGTTATATTTATTATTTTTGTATAATATATGTAACATATATATTTGTAATTTTTTTGCACACATATTTTCAAATTTAAAAGATAAAGGTCTTATTAGTACAACTGACTTACAATCAGTTAGAATATATAGTCAAGGAAAGTATGTGTAACAAATGGTCAATAAATGTTGATAGGTCTGCCGGATTTGGATAAACAGTCCTGGAGAAAGTATTCATTAATTAAAGGAATAATAAGTATTTTGAAAATTACAAACACACCTGTATTTGACCACACCTAATCTATTATTTTTGAGAATTATGATACATGTATTATACATGACTGAAAAAAATTAAATTAAAAATTAATTTTAGGGTTTATTACATTTTACATATATATGTACATTTTCAAAAATCAAATAAAATTAAAAGTGTTTCTTTTTCTTCTAAAAGCTTGCCCTTCTTCCGTTGTGCCATTTCTGTCAAGTTGTCATTCCTTTTCATCGCCTCGTCCAATTGCCCTTTCCTCCTATTTTTCTGTTCACGTATGCGCTTTCTGTCCTCGTCTAACTGTTTTAGAAGTTCCTCGTCTTGATGAAGAAGTTCTCGCAGTTCTTGAATCTCATCCATTTCCACTGCCAATTGTCGCTCGGTATTTTGGATTTCTGATTTGCATTATACTTTCTTTGAAAGCATTTATAGCAGTTTGACTGATCGGCTGCTTGGTGGTGGTTTTCTTTGTTCTTTCAATTACGTGCTTCATCTGGTTTAACGATTTTGAAGGCAAGATGTGAGCCTTCACTGCTGGAAGCGGCGCTGTTGTGTGATTATCCATTGTATTTTCCAACACGGCAGCTTCAGCAGGTCTAATTTGGATGAACTCCTGGAGTTCTATGTCAGTTGTCATCTGAGTCAGTTGAATTCCGTCACCTTCCAGGTCAGCTATAATTGCATCCAAATCATGGAGAACTGCAATGTCATCTAGATTATTCGCGGTTGCTTGCATAATGCTATTGATTATGGGGATAAACTATGCTGGTACTAACAGACTCAACTAGTGTAACGTAGCAGGCGCGACTGAATTTATGTGGAATCCTAACACACACACACACACACACACACACACACACACACACACACACACACACACACACATAGGGGGGAGGGGGTGAATTCAAACAGTAGAAAGATCAATCGGTAGGTTAGAGGCGTTTTATCATTAGTAAATATGCGGCATGGCCTAACCTCTTGTATGCATGCTAACCAATAAGGATACGTAGATTTAACGTTCTTATAGTGCCCTTGTGGACAGGTAAACAGGTATCTGAACCTGAAACGAAAGATAACAGTGGAGGGAGATTGAAGTGGGTAGGTTCAGGGGTTTTGAATGAATGTAAAAATCAATGTGTCCAGGTTAGTTTATTAAAACAAGATTTAAAGAATTTGTATTTTTTTATTGATACAACCATTTCGAACATATAGCGACTACGTAAATGTAACACACAACATAAAACTGAGAGTCCAAAAAAAAAAACACTACAACACATCATTGATATCTATCCAAGAGTTTTTATAATGTGGAAAACCCAACCATTTAACTAAAAGCTTGTTGCCCTTTCTCCTAATCACCTTTTCAATCAAGTACTCATTTGGAAATTTTGTTTTTCTTAGTTCCTTCTCGTAGAAACAGCCTTTTATTGGACAACCTTCCACGTCTTCTAACATATATGTAACAGGATTTGAAATGTTGACTTTGTATATTTTAAATAATTCCGTTGAATAGTTGGATGTATACCCTTTTTCAAAAAGAGTTTTGTATTTGCTTACTCTGACGATATCGCCAGGTTTAAACTTCCCTTTTCCAGCTACTTTTGGATGATTGTACACATTCAATCGTGTATGGAAGTCGACTCCGATGGAGCTTACACCTGTCGTTCGATGTTTCCTGTTCTTAGAAAAATCAGTAACATCTGCTAAGATATTGATCCACCGGTAGCTCCCTCTGACTGAAAATTCAGCGAAAAGTAGGTGTTTTAGTGATCGGATAGCTCTCTCAACTATTGCCGCCTTTTTGTACTATATGTGGAATAATGATTAATCCCATCCTTTTGCATCAGAGCGGAAAATTTGCTGTTGTAGAACTCCGATCCATTATCCGTTTGTAGGTTCTTTGGGTGGTGGGTAGCCGTTAGTAAAATATCATCCATTGCAATAGTTACGGTTACCATAAATCTTTCCTTTTAATTGGTCTACACACATGAACCTAGAATAGCTATTGATAACTATTAATATGTATCTATATCCATCAATCTCTTCACTAAAAGATCGCATTTCAGCCAAATCAGCTGGCCACAAGTCAGCGAAGCCCTTTATGATAGTTCTTCGGCGGGGGAAATTCCTTCGAGCCGCCATATGTAGCTCCTTGGCTATACCACGTTTTGTTTTGCTTACGATAGACATATTCACTACTATGAATACCCTGATGGAACGAGCTTGTATTTGCAAGTATCTAGTGTATTTAGATGGAAGTGATAGGTTTAAAATCGTACTCAACTCGTTAAACTTTTTGTCAAAGCCACGTTTACTTTCCAGCACCTTATCGTTGCAGTATGTCACTGAATCACTTAATACATTGGAAACTGCTAAATGCATCAATTTACAGATTTCGGTTACAAATTTATCCATGGTTTATTCAATATACTTTACAGTCACAGCATCGTTTTTGTCCACAGGATCACCAACATTCTTTATCAGTTTTTTTTCAATATCATAGTCACCATTAGTAGCTAATTTGAAGCCAATACCAGGTATACCACGTATGGTATGCAATTTTGACCCGCGGCGACGTCCAAATTTGTCAACGGCACCATACCTCACACCATGCTGCATTGAAGGCATATTGGTAAGTGATGTGATATACTCTAGGTTGACAAATAAAAATATATGCGAATCAACGTATAACACCCTCTTTTTAATATTATTCCAATATACATATTTATATTGCTCATCGTTATATATTTTATATTTGGGTGCTTTCAAATATATACCCCGACCCACTGATGATCTCAGGCATCTGGGTGATGTTGCTGATATGATATTTAGTAATTTAGAGAAATATTCAGTTCCATCTTTTCTCAAGTCATATGTAGAACAATATGCTTTACGAAGTACACTAGTTTTAATCATATATTTTTGAATGTGTTCAAGTGTCTCGGGAGTCTAAATTCTTTGTATCAGGCAGTTTGTCCAAAAATATCAAATCAAGTAATTCGGGAGACATTTTAAATTTTATTCTCTCCTTCTTCTTCTCAGAATAAAATAGGTAACGTCCACCAATATCAAAGCTCACTTGGAGTTTGCCTAATAATAACTTGTCCGACTGTGGATTTATTCTCACATTGTATTTGGCTCCATACCCTGGATTGTTTGCTTTCAAATTAGATATATGGTTATTTATCAAGTTGGTAAAAGATTCGGATGCTTCACAATGATTTGAAGTACACATGTATCTACTCATTGAATTTTCTTCACGCGCTCCGAGTAATGAATGTGTGTCAGGTTGCGTTTGCATCGGGGCAATAGTAGAAAGTTTAGTATGAGTCAAGTCACCAAACGCTGCGTTTCCTGAATTATCAGATTCCATAGATTGTGCCCTAGGTGTGCTTGTAGTCGGTGGAAAGATCTGCTAAATGTATGGTCATTGAATTCACTACTACCCTTAAGCAACTCAGTTTTTCAGACAGGTGATTTTGACGCATCTAATAATTTCTTTCTTGATTCATCAAATGATACTTTTTTCAGAATGTTGGACTATCGATTTGGTTTGTTGACTGTTTCGACAAGCTGGATGTAGATGCTTCCGCTATTGTTTTGAGCTGCTTAGTAATGGGCTCATATACTTGCTACAATGCACTATCATGGAATTCACGCCCTTTCTTGATAGCAACAAATTTCTTCCGAACTGACTCTGCTGCATCTACTAATAAACTATCAAACCCCTTCCGGAACGACCACTTGTCAGTTCGCTATCCTTATCTATGACTAAGAATTCGTATTTATCGCTCCAGCACATGGCACACATGTCTTGAAATTGCTTAAAGGTTATATCAGGTGCTACATGATCGGAGAAAACATGAGATAATTGTGTGTTACCCACCTTGAATAAAACAATTATGTTAGCATTGTCTCTTATTACTCTTTTAGGCACCCAGGAGTAACTCTGCACACAATAGAAGCAATCCACACCGTTGTGCCTATCCATACTGAAGTATTCTAGAATAGAAGTCTGATTTTCTGTCATTACATCATCATAAATGAATATTGAATTCGGCTTGGTTTTCGATGGCGGTAAGATATCAGCGTTGTTGTTATCCTAAACCATTGACCGAAGTTAGTACTTTCTGTATAAATTGATATTTCGGTTGATTCAATGATTTTGAAGATATATAGACGTTTTCAAAGTAGAGTCCATTCTCACGGAGCAGTAACGATATTAATACGTTGGTTTTTCCACAGTTCGATGATCCAACAATAATACAGCGGATTGTGGATGGGAGGAGACTTCCATGCAGCTGCATAGCATTGTTTTGTATACCCGCCACTTTTGTATCAATACTGATGATACATAATTCTTGTTTCTGTTTTGTGACCTTCATTGTACAACGGGTTGAGCATATATTGCGTATGTCTTATTTTTTTAAATGCCACTACTTCGCATTAGAAGGTGTCAAAGCACTCCAAAAGCTGGCGGTGGTAATGGTGGCTTTGTCGATACGCTGATAGATAAGTTACCATTCGAAGTACACTTACCTTCTTACCAGTTCAACGTCTTCAACAAGGTTAGCCCTAGGTCAGAAAGGCATTAATAAATTAGACGCTGCATGCTTACAGCATGATATTCCATATCAGAAACCTGATTTGACAGCAAGACACGTTGCTGATTATCAACTTGAGCAAGAAGCTTGGAAAACAGTCAAATCTCGAGACGCAAAACTTGGAGAAAAAGCGGCCGCTTTGTTAGTTACTAATATCATGAAAGTAAAACGTCACGCAGGAATGGGTCTAGCATCATGTCGTGGACGGAGTAGAAGCAAATACATCCGCAGAAAACCGGGTATTATGAAAGTCAAACGTCGTATAGGTATGGGAGGACATGCATTACGGCGTGAACCTAAAGGAAGAAAAGCTATCCATAGAAAATCAAGTAGATCTGAGAAAAGGGTACATTTTGTATCGGGGATAGTGAATAAAGTATGCAAACATATAAAAAGCTTCTCAAACTGTAAACCAGACAAGACATTATTAGCAAAGGCGACTTCTGTTGCATCACTTGCTGCCCGGAAGCATATCAGATCTATCGGTGGAAAAACGGCTGATTCAGCTTCCACGAGTTATACCTATTCCCAAGGTTGGAGGCATCCTTCCTTTGATACCAATTTTTGCCAGTATTTCAGCATCAGGTTGTCTACCGGGGGGTATTGCCAACATAACAAGAGCTGCTAAAACAGCAAGTTCAGTGCCTGAGCAAATTCAAAATAAAAGCACTTCACCACCTTCTTCTAATGTGAATCGAATTGGGGATGGACTCTTTCTGAAACCATACCGTAAAGGATTGGGGTTACTCATCAAGTTAAGGAATTCAAAAAACTGTTGAAAACCCTTATTGTTACTGTAACATGCAAGATATCAATGTTAAAAATACATCTGAAACTGTTGTAAGCAATAAATATTTTTTTACCTATATAAGACCATGTTTTCATTCATCAACTCTTCAGTCATGTCTAACACATTTACTCAAACGGGTTACACTAGCAAACCATCTGCTAATTTTTATCCACCAATCGAGTTGAATATATGTGCGGATTACGGTCTGGGCTTAATTGGCTTTTATTCATACAGCACCATATAATACAATCTTGATGATCAACATAATAAAATACCTCTTACTCACGAGGGTGACGAGAGTAATGTGGTAACCCTTCCTGAAGGTGTTTATGACATCGAAGATATCAATAAGCACATACAACATGAAATAATATCAATGGATGATACATATAAAGAGAGATATGTAAACAAAGTTGATGAAATGTTCTATTTGAAAGCCAACACTATACTTTGAAGTGTGAACTCCATTCTGTATTCGATATTGCTCTGTCCAATTCCATGGCAACTATGCTTGGATTTAAGAACAACATTTTTCCCAGAAAACAAAATCTACACATCGAATTTACCTGTAAACATAACCCCCATCAGGATAATAAGAGTCCACTGTGGATTAATATCAAGAGCTTATTGCAATGGCAATGAAATGCACACTTTGTATGAGTTTGATATAGACGTTGAACCTGGATTTAAATTAACAAAGGAGCCTCAGAATGATATATATATATACATATGAGCGTTAAACCGCGTGGACGCCAGTTTATTGATAAGATCACACTGGAAATTTTGGATGACGTCGGGAATTTGGTCAATTTCCGTGGTGAAAAAATTATAGTCAAATTAGAACTGCGACGCCTGTCTAGTACCAGCTGAAGACAATGGGATTTATATATAACCCACATATATATCATTTGAAGAATGTAGAAAAAGGTCGCACAACTAATCATAAAAGACGAAGAAGCAATGGAAATTCCGTTAATCGTCGTTCAACCATCGTCTAAGACACAGCATCGAATATTTCGCTGCAAAATCGCAAGTTCCTGGAGTCTATAGGGCTAAAACTAATCAAACAATATGGTTCTACACGTATCAAATGAGAAATTGGATGTTTTTGACTAACCCATCATAGATCATTTCTTAGCCAGCCTACAAGAATACACATACAAACCATATGGATCACCATATTTCAAGAATTCAGATATAGTTCACATCCGTATAAACTTCCAAGATCTCATTTTAAACATTGCTGACAGTTATATATACGTCGAAGGAACATTTAGGTCTAGCGACACTACAAAACCCTGCTATGTATCAAACAATGCATTGGCCTTTTTATTTCAAGAAATTTCCCTACAGATGGGTGGCGAAAGAGTTTATGGAGTTCGAAATCCAGGGATAACTTCAACTATAAAAACGATGGTGTCACATGGTAAAAGTGCTATGCATACACTTTTATGTAGTGGTTGGAGCTTAAGTGCCGAGAACTCAGCTATATGGGAGGTCAAAACCAAAGTTTTTAGAGGTAGGATACCCCTAAAACATATAATGTTGGTTGTTGCAAGATCTTTCAAAAACTGTTATGTTGGTGAATGTGATGCTGAATGGACTATATCCAAGATTGAATGGAAGGTTCAACACACCGTTCCGGAAGATGGTTACAAAGTCAAGCTTCTGCAAAGGTGAGCTCAAGGATCAAGGTAGCATTTCGATCTTGGTATCCCAATGAGCTTCCATCGCTTCGTTCTACATCATCGGATGTTTGGGCAATTAGAAGAACCAGTAAACTAGAGAGACCTCTGTTCGTTATCATTGGATTTCAAGATTCTACAGTTGAAGAAAATCATTCGATGGATATAACGAAATTCATAAATGCCAACGTTAACTCGATTCGCTTGGATTTGAACAACCAAGTATTCCCATATGAAAGGTGGAACTTGAATTTCGAAAAAAAGCTCAACACCGCAGCTTATTATGCATTTGAGAACTTTCGAAAAACATACTACAATCGGAACATTCCTGGACCTATGATGGATATTAACGAATTTTATGACAATCCGCTTTTCTTTATTGATTGCAGTCATCAGCCTGATCATCTCCAACTTTCAACTGTCGACATATCTTTGGAATTTGTGACCAGGAAGTCTGCATTTCCATTCCACACCAAGGTGTATGCATTAGTTATTTATGACTCATGCTTCAGTTACAATGCTTGTGATGGGTCTATCCAAAATGGACTTATTCATTCCTATTAAATGTTTTTGTAAGTGTGAAATAAAACTCGTTTTCTTACAACATGTTTATTTACCTGTACAGCTTGACGTAACCTAAATCTAATACTTACAAACTTCCTCTAAGATTAATTTTATTAATAAGTCTAAATTACCATTTTCAGGAAAAACCTCTTCTGCAATATCATTGATTGCACCTATAGCATATTTAACATTCAATGAGGGGTCAGTCTGGTAAAACTCAATGTCAGAGTTTCCCCAAGGTAAAGTTTTTGTGGTGTTAGGTATATAAACCTTTTGTCATAATCATGTGCTAGAGCAGGGTTGTCCAACTTAATGTGGCCCAAGGGCCACTTCAAAAAAAAAAATGCAGTTTGGAGGGCCGCATTATAAAATCTTTCTATACAACATTATTTCTGAGTTTTAATAGGTATATGCATATTCGGCACCTATTTGAGAGTAATTTATACATGTGATATATACATGACCCGTGAAGCGAACACCAGGTTATATTTGAGGATAATTTCCAATCTCACACAGAAATGATCTAAGGTTACAATTAATCATATCACTACAAAACTGCTCAATAGTGCAATCTTCTTGTAGATACTGCATGCAGAACTTCTACCCTTCCTCGTATTTCCGAATTAGTTTCCTGATCCTTTCAACCTCGTTATCATCTCAACAAATATTCATATAGTAGTTTGTTGAATGTTCAGCGTCATGCATCAAATTCATTAACTGGCACACTAATCTCATGATAGCTGTACGTAGATCCTTTGAATCAGGCCAACGCAATGATGCATAATGCATCCACATCTTGTCAAACCAGAATGGGTGTACTGCTTCTGGAAAGATAAATATAATGGTCAATATTAAGTGGAACATGATATTTGTCAAAACAACTTTACCTGCTGCATTTTCCTAACCCATTTCTGATCTGAACCTGTATCTTATTTATACCCAAATTACCCTATACTAACTCATATTTTTAAACTAATTACTACTGTCAACAAAGTCAAACTTTATCAAACATTTTGAACGACTACCTGGTGTCTTTGGTGAGCTTTGGCAAATATACGCTAAAGAATATTTGTTTTGGGACTCATTTATATCTTTAATCATAATTTCGGGCATGTTTTCCAACACTCTTTTAGGTAGCCAAACCCTAAACTGGTCAGAATCAAAATCAAGAAGGCCTGCTACTAGACATTGCCCAAACTTTGATTGAATACTTGAAATATTCTTAATAGGATAATATTTGTTTACAGTTAATGATGATAATATTCTAGATGGTATATTAAAATAAATATAGTGTTGGTAAAATAATATAAAAGGATGTCACCAAATTCTATCTGTTAGGTACTTCTAGAATATTATTTAGTCACTTATCGATGTTAAATGACTTGAATGATCAAAGCTGTTGTTGTTTTATCATTTATATAATAACTAGCAGAGTTAGATTACCTTACAGCACGGTCTGTGAGTTATAGTAGGGGGGGAGGGAGTTGGGGAGGAGGGGGAGACACTCTCCGTCGACTCATTTCTATTAAACAACACGCTTTCAATGCTATGACGATGGTCATTGGGTGGACACCCCTTCACCCCCCGGGAGGCAACAGTACCGGCGAACCAATCCTACTTGCGATGCCTGAAGACTTAACTACAATGTTGACAGCATGTATCAAATTTATAGAAGCATTTTCAGAGTCTGAAATAATGATACAACTATAGCATGGATCAAGTTTTTGAAAAGTGGTCCACTAAAGTCCACTATTTGTAAAAAGATCAATAATCATTGGCTGCTCTATGAGGATTACGGGAAAATTTGGAAAGACAGTTACGACCATGAAAACGCATTGCAGCTTTCGAAATTATAAAGTATTGCAAGTTACAAGAATACACAATTTTAAATTCAACACATTTGTTATAAAAAAACAAAAAAGAACAGTCTCCATCAAGCACCTTTTGCCAAAATTTATTGTTTGGATCTCTAAAAACGAATGAGTTATGTGTGTCTGCGGATGAATGTTTTACCTAGAAATGTATGAGGGTAACGGAGCTTCAGTATCATTAGTCATGCTGTTTACTTATTTCGTATGGCATTTTGACTTAACCACCTAAAACTGTAAAAAGAATTATACGGTTACACATTATGAGAGAAGTTACAATAATATGCAATTTTGAATTCAACAGATTTATTATAAAAACCTTCAACCGGAAAAGACTCTCTCCATCAAGCGCTGTGCTTTCATATGCCCATACTTATTGTTTGTATCTCGAAAAACAAATGAGTTATGTGGGTATGCGGATACATATTTTAGTTAGGAATATATGAGGTTGGCAGAGCTTTAAGCTACGCACGAAGTATCATTAGTCAGTCTGTTTACTTATTTCGTATGGCATTGTGACGTAACCTCCTAAAACTGTGATCAAAACTATATCATAAGGTCATGGTGCCTACATGTAAATTCATAGCAAGTATACTAACTTGTACAAATTTTTCATGCATCTAATCGACTTGAACTTGAATATTTCAAAGCGCAATGTCCACATACCACCAAATACTTGCGTCGACTGCTTCGTTTTGATACCAACAAAATGCAGCATGTAAATTGTGACAGAGCGTCCGAAAATAGATTTGCACAATTCTGTCAAGCCCATACACGCAATAGATGTGCACGACATCTGTTTAGGTTTTGTACTGCACAGGAATATCGAAATTAAGGAAAACATGTTCTTACAAAGTTGCTCACCAAAAAAAAAAAATATGAAGTCGACAGCGCAATGTGTGACCTATGCGAAAAAATATATTGCTCTGAGAGAAAATATGAAGTCTTCCCTTTCTATATAAGAAAGACGAGTAGAGTAGAACTGGAGACTGAAAGTGGCTAATAACTTTCATTTTATTATACAAACAAAACGAAGTTACTTCTATACAACAAAAATACAGGGTTATAGGTAACTCGCCGTATTCCTGCCAGGTCCAAAAATGAAACAAATTCCACCTGATATATCTATGGTCGAAATTAAATAGTTCTTGAGATTTTTTTAGGTTTTGGGGTTTTCTAATAAAATGGCCCATTATTGGGCATCAGAGACTAAAGAATAAAGAAACTATGTGAGATATGCATGAGGTTTCAACTTATCATCCTAGACAATACTTAAGTCAAGCTAATACATTCATACAAGCTGCAAACGAAACACACACAACGAAATAACAGCTATTTCGAAAAATAGAATTTCTTTGTCTTATATTCTTGCTGTAGAATTGCTAGCGCATTGAGCGTATAAAGGGTATGAAACATCAGTATGGAACCGCCTAACTCTTATTTAACAGC